ATTGATTTCTAAAGTAATTTCAAATGATGTCAAACGATTTCAAAAGTGTATCAAATGAGGACTCAAAAGCCTTTCATTAATTTTTGACACTTTTTCACCCAAAACTTTAATAAACCGCTATGTTAGTTATCCGCTTGAATGGTACAGTCACATGTCACTCGCTCACTGGGTTTTCAGGTTGCGACTTAATTCCATTCTCTGCCAAATCAGTTTTCTCCCATACTACACGCCGCAGCGCTTCACCAAATTCAGTATTACAGAAATCCAGTATTCAGGTTGTGGGACACTTTAGTAAAAAACAGTGTGCTCTTTGCAACAAAAATGTCAACGAACACATTGCTCATTTTTCGATAACCCGTCTCTTTTGTCGCTAAATTAAGAAGGGCTTCCAATCATAAAGAAAGAGCAAAAATATTTGAACATTGTTTCAATGCGTTAAACCTGTTACTACCAGAAATAACAGGCAAAAAGACTATATATAGAAGCTGTTTATTGACTAAACTCATATGCATTTTTTATTTACCATCCTCCAAGGACTTAGACTGAGTTGTCCTGTAAGTGGAACTCAGCAAGGCTAAATGGAGCATTTCAGGGGCAGATTGCCCAGAACCTAAAACCGCACAAACACGGCAGAGAGTTTCTGGTCAAAAGTGATTAAATAAATAGAATCAACTAGTGCTTAAGTTCGGATTTCGACTACAGCTACGCAAAGAATTTGTGAAGTCGACAGACGGGTAAAAATTAGCTAGGGCACAAACTGCCTAGCAAACAGGAGAGCTTGACTGGGCGAACCAAACTTTCTAGATGCTGACGGCAAGTTCTGAAACCGAGCACTGGTATTTCCAAGTACGCAAGGACAAAATGGAAGTTAGGTTAGATTGTTGCCTCGTTATCCGCCCAATATGATGGTGACATCACGCAAGATCTCTTGGAGATATCGAAGTAGTACTGAATGCACGTGATACGTATCTGGCTATTTTATGTAAATAAAAATCCCCAAATTCATCACATAAGTTATGAATATCACCATCAGGTTATACAAGGAATTCAACCCCGACGCAAGATTATCAGATGAGGCGGTAATAAGTGTGAAAAAAAGACAACTGGATATCACTTGGAAGTGACGTGGAAAAAGAAAAAAACCCTCTGAATAAACAAACACGGGCGTCTTTAGCCCGCTTTTTTCCTAGCGGCTTGTGCTGCCTTCAAATTTTATTTACGCGAAGACATGTATGTGTGTATTGGTTACCAAACTAGTGAATCAAACAAGTAACCCGGTGCGAAAATCACAAATAGTCGTTGGTTGTAACTCTTGTCTGAGTAATCAACTGTGTAACAGGTAGAGTCCACATTTTCAAAACCAGAAGTCAAGTTTTGGGATTTTCAGTCCTCAAAAATCCGTTGATAACCTATATCGGTTTGAAACCGACTGAAAAGCTCAGTTTGGAAAAGATTAATTAAAACACAACATCAATTCACCTGACAGTAACTAATTCTGCCCCGCACTCTCAGAAACGATTCTCACAATGGAATAATATCCATGAACTTCTTCGCTGGTCCAAAAATAAAAGTTGTACATGTATTTCACAAAGTAACGGACAAACAATCATCCTCCAAACTTCCACAAAGTGTGTTTTGCCAGCCCTAGGACACCGTCAATAAATCATTGCTTTTGAAACTATGGTGACAGCTCGAGATGTGAACTATGGTGTGGGTTCCTTTCCCATTGTTTCTGAACTGAATTTGGACGTAACATTGTTCACGGTCTCTGAACATTCTTCTTTCTGCCTCCACCGGATGATCCACTTGGGACAATGGACAGGAATTAGCAGATCAAGTATCCTGTTTGGTGGTATTTTGTCATTCAAGACAATGGATTAATGGCAGATCGTGTATACGCTATTTAGAAGTTATTATTGGTTACTGACAGGTCAGTGAAGTCGGCTTGAGGGTAACACCTGTTTCATAGCTACGGGAGGCTGAACAAACAAAGTTCCTATTGTCAAGGGATACAGAAATGACCATCAATATGCGTTCAAATTCTTACTTGCGCAATTTAGCATCAATTTTCCTTGATGCTGCTGGAAAGATCTAGCTGCTATAATGTGGATTTCTGAGGAAATAATTTGCAAACAGTCATTTGATTAGTGAAACGAATTTAACACAATTTTCATGTTCTAAATAAACGTATATGCATTCAAAATGTACGATGCTTAGTCCAGAAGCCAATTTAGCCTCAAGGCAACATTTATGCTTTCTGGGCGCAAAATAAAGACCTAAGTCAATCGATCAATACCGCCTCTATGATCCTTAACCTACTTGGACGGCTGCTTTGAAAAGAAAATCAAAGTTCAACTCGTTAGATTATTTCGACCAGATGCCTAATATTGGACAATTCCTTTTTAGACTCTTTCTAGACTTAATGGCATTAAACAGTAGTGTATGGTGTCATTCTGCCCGATTTCCTAGATTTTTGTCGGTTCAGCTCATGCCTGTATTTCCGCAAACGTAACTGCGTTGATAAATGAAGTAATTAGTTGCCAGATCTCACGCTAGAAATTTGATTGTTACAGGGGTAGCTCCTGGTACCCATTTAAACTGCTATTGCAATCTGAACATACACGGAACAAAAGAATGGTGACCACCAGGGTACCTTGATGTTGAAAAATTCCTATCAGGTTCCAACATCTAGCAGTTGGTATTACTAAATTTTAATAAAACCTAACATTTATCCCGCCACCCCTGAAAATAGCCTCATACAAAAATAACCAGTACTTTAAGAAGGGCTGGTTTATTTAGATCTCGATCTTGGCGACAGAAGTTAGCAGGAAATCTACGAAAAAATTATAAAACTGTGGCTTCTATTTTCGTCACATAATCCAAAAGTAACAAATCAACATGTTCATTCAAAGTTCGCTATTCTTTTAATACAGCTTTTTTTGAGATTACGTCATGTGCTACAAATGCGTAAGGCCATGCGTAACTAATATCATTCGCAAAAGGATTTAATCCTCTTCGTGTTCGAATTGCCTAATGTTCATACCCAGTATTTATATTTTCTTGTTGCAGACTTTTTCTTTAAACTTAATTTTGCGACAATCAGTATTCTCCATCATCGTCAGCTGAATCTGTGACACGAAAAATCATGAAACTTCAGGGTATAACTACATTGATAGCTTTTCAGTATATTACCAAGTAATCCATCTGTAAATACGGCTTAAAATTGCAACAATCACATGTCGCCTAACCTGAAGACATCTCTCCTAATCAAAGTAAATATACCTATCCCCGTCGAAAAATCACCTACAAGACTAGGTCTGGCCAAATAAACTAGGATAGCACTGCACAATGAACAGATGTTTCACCTGCCTGTGTCTGAGTGGACATCCAGTGGTGGGAATTTAGAATAGTTTAGTTCGTAATTTGCATGCCAGTAACACGGACACTGTATGCCTAATACATGAAACCTACAGCCAAATTCTTATTCATAAAGTAAACGATCTGCCGGGATGTCACTCAATAGTCTAAAATAGCAAAGAGTGGTTGGTTGGAGTGCGAATGAAAAATTACTGAGTTGATAAGCTGAATTATGTTTGCTTGTCTGCTCAACGTGTTTTGCTAAAATCACCTTTACAGACATCCAAAGAAGTATCACTTTCCCATGATTAAGGCGAATAGCTCTCTGATCAAGCACAACACAATACACGTAGTTTCAACAGAGTCAGAGTAGACGTCAAAGTGAAATATTTTGTCAGCATACGTGGTAGCAAACCACTTCTGTCGTTTTAGAGTGATATAATTTTCTGCCACCATGCTCAACCTCCCTTCCACCGAGATATAAAATTAAGGAATTTTTCAAAAACGCACTGGGTGATATTCAATGGTGTGGGTGCAAACAATACCGAGGACACGTGGTTGGAATCTGAGAAAAGACAAGAGATGGCAAGGTAAAAATCTGTGGCCAAGCGACAAAAGAAGTAATGTGTGAAAAACCTAACGTAGGATCTCCATTTTTGTGACCATAAGTTGTGAATTGACCAGGTTTATAATGCTGCCGAGTGAATCTAAGAGTTGTTGAACAATATTCTAAGATTCGTGGTCAGAAATCCATTCCATGCTGCCCACGAACTCAATAACCTTGATGCCAATAATTCATTTTTTTAATTTGCAAACTATGAGGAAACTGACTCATAAGGTTGCAGTTGTATTGGTTATCCCAAAGTTCACAGGCCAGCCTCTACCGTCCTGTTTTGCATTTCACGTAAGTGGGTTTTTGATGAGGAGTGTAGATCACTGATCGAAAATGGTTATGACACAGAATTTGTAGATAGCTATTGCATAAGCATTTCATTGTGGACCTCCAGCGTATGTGTATGACGCTGCCGGGTATCTACAGTATCTTATCTACGATCTCAAGTACCGACATCGACAGCAATTATTGACCTCTTAAAATTTAGTCAAGCGCATTGTTATTTTCATCACTTCGAGCGTATGAACAAAAATGTTTGCTGTTCCACCGTTTCCCCGTTTGTTATTAACATTCATACATTGATATCGTAAAACACAATGCCACGATGGACTGAGCCAATTTTTCAAAGTACCACCAAATCACCAACCCTGGCCTACATTTTCGACATTCGCAGTGCCAAACTTGTATTTTAACTTCCGTTCTGCCCCTGTGATAACTGTTCACTATTTATCGCAGACAACAGGATTATGGTATTTTCTGACATGGAAGATCGTGTAGCTTGAATTGGGTCAACCGATAACTGCGTTTTCAAGCCACTTTTTATCAAGGACGCCTTGTAGTATGGATTCTTAGGACATCACTACAGAAAACTTCGTATTTCTAAACCCATCAACTCTCGCATCTATATTCACAAAAAGCGCCAGGTTAGCAAGTCTCGCAATGACCGCATCGGCCATTGAGATATCTAGTTTGCTTGTTTGTGTAGTCCAGCAGCGAAACTTTATCCACACATTGTTCTTCCCTCTTTCAGATAATCCGGATCAAGGCGGACGTTCTTGTATCCCTCTGTCAGCGTCCACTTGAAGGGTTGCTCAGTATTGGAGTGCACGAAATTCGCAATATCGATTTCGAAGCTTATGGTCCCTGGGATCTGGAGAACTTTAAACAGGAACTCAAACATCGGCAGAGTTAGTAACTTATGATGCGTAGTAGAACTACTGATGGTTTTCGTATGTCTGCGTGTATCTTATCAATAATTTATCAGTCAACTTAAACTCACTATTCGCAATGTAAATAGGTGACTCAAATGAGTGCTACATTACTGAATTTTACCCAAGTCTAGGTACAATATTGAATCCAATGGTAACTACCAATAGTTAACCACTGACAAGTTCATGCATTCATAAGATTTGTTCTACACAAGTGGTATTACCGATTCAGACGTAGCATAGCCTTTGCCGCCAATATGTGGTCAGCACTTAACGCGGATGACAGAAGTGACAATGTTGATGTCCGTGAACAGTGAGATAAGTTCGGCAGCCTAGGCAACTGGTAAACTGATTTTTAAATGTAAGCCTCAAGCTACGCAAGGATGCATGGATGCGTCTATCACCGCACACATGATAGTATGTTGCCGGTTTTGGGGTAGCTACATTGGAATGTTTCAATATTAGTCAATTGTTACTTGACAAATTCAACCATCAGTGGTCTAAATGTCGGATATTTCCATCTGGTATTCACAAGCATTTCCAATATGAACGAGCCATCAACAGGGCCTGCGAACTTGTTTTTGCAGACAATCTATCGTACTCACTTCACAGTTGCTGCGAAGCATACTTCTCACATTATGATTTTAACATTTCATTATATTGCTGCGGAAGGTAAACTACATGCTCCGGTAAAACATGTACGCCAAACACACCGCGTTAGTAGAATCGCCCACAATTCTGTCTCGTGATGTAATCAGCTGCTTTATTCCACCAGTGTTGGACAAACCTCTGAGATGTGTCTAAGAGATTGGATGCCTAGCTGGATGTACTATAGAGCAACTGGAATCAGTGTAGCAAAAGTGCTGAGATTGGAATTTCTTTCTGCTTTTTTGAATGCATTAGTACAAACGCAGTAGTAAACAGTGGGTAAATTTTATAAAATATCCTGAAGGTTCAGATTTAGCAAGGCGAAACTTACCACTTGTTCTCACCTGATAGCAAATGTCCATGAGATTTACACAAATATGCTTACGAAAGAAACCTATCAAAACACGGATAGTACCCAACTGAAAAATGGATAATCCCCATCCATAAAAGCCAAAATGAATCAGCGTAAAATGGATAAGGTGGGAAACCATGGGCGGAAGTCAGCGTACTTGGTTGGAGAACAATAGCAAGTATACCAAATCACGAAGAAGAATAACGTACCAACAGAGAATATGTGGAAAGCAAATAACTCTTCGGTGTAAAATGAGAATAAAAATAGTACTTAAAACGACATGGGAGTTCAGTGCGTTACTACATAGATGCTTCACTGTCATCGTTGTTATTGTTCTTTACCTGCACCAACAGACTGGAAAACAGATCACGCCTACAAAAATGTATTAAGGTCACCTTTGATTTCTATTTTCTTAGGAAATAAATGGAGCATAAATGAACGGAAAAATCACCGTGACCAAAGGTTTTACCGTTTATTCCATTCCACAACGGAGGAAACTAGATGTTCTTGTTTTAGATCACAAACATTGTATGCAGGTCCAGTTGTTCTATATATTCAATATATGAATGTGCATTTTTGTATATCCATGGTAGCGCGTAAGAGCACTGTTGGAACTTCTCTATTTTCTTTTATTGGGCAACCTAGTTTACACTGTTCAGTGCAAATACCCTCTGCAACATTCCCCGGAGGACCCAGCTTGGAAGAGCACGAGGTTTTCAGAGTCCAGTACTTGTAAAAAACGAATCCCAGGTCGTTCCGTGGCAAATTATTAGTAGATGCATTGTAATACTGGGGAAATTCTTTCATGGCTTGACGCTATCATTAAAAATCATCCAAAATGGGGAACCTGATCCTTTGAATATTCATTACAACCGTCAATCACTAAAGCAGAGAAACCAAATGATATCGCTTGACAGGGAGTGACAAGTACGATGCCTTCTGTTTGACAGGGCAACTGCATAAAAAAACTTTATGCAGTCAGTTCAACGCAGAGTGTATTTCGCCTTCGGAACCATTCTGATTTTCTGCTGTTACAAGTAAAAATGCACCACTTTATTAGTACTTCTGTATTCAGTGCATTTTTCTTATTTTTCGATTATCTTATTTTAGTCGAAGTTGCCGTCCACGCATGTCTCTTCCACGAGGGTCACTTGAGCAAATCGAGAAAGAGTATCTTTCTGCAACGTCCCGGTTATCGACCTGTTCGCTCGAGGCGAGCATCCGTCAGTATGACTCTTGCTTCAAAAATATCTGCAGATTCCGAACCAACTACAAGTGATGTTCCATTCAACAGACTCGTTGGAGGTGAACACTTTTTGCAATTCTCACTTCCCGCGACAAAAAAATCGTTCGGCAAACTCCAGTTGTCAGACTACGGTGTTGCTTTATTCTTCTTCAGTAAGCTATTAGTTGTCGATCGCCTACCACTGGAGTGTGTGCGTCAGCTTAGGTCAGTTGGTGTGAGTGAAGCGAAGTATCTGAATGCAATTGGCGAATGTTTCATTGGCGACCAGGCCGCACAGCTTGAGAATCGAAAACAGCATGGACTTGTTCCGAAATTCGATATTCCAAGCTCCTCTCTATGGTCGGAGGTCAGCATTCATGGATCAAGCCGAGTGTACCAGTGGTTGTCTGTGGAGTAGCTAGAGTTTAATGGCTGTACTCAGTTGACTGACTGAGCAGTCTTCTGACATTATTTTCATCTCAACAGTTTGAATCCCCTTCTTTGACAAGGTCACTCCCATCAACTCGGCACATTTTCTGTCATTCGATCATCTAGTCCGTTTATCGTGTTTCATATTAATTATGTCTCACGCCCCACTTATGTGCCCATGGTTCTCCCAAGTACTGGCTCAGTGCAAACGTCAGTTCATTGCCATCAAAAATGAAAACAACTCAGTGTTTGTGTCTATTCACCATTCAGATTCACCTTGATTTGTCCACAGAATTGTCATTGTGTATAGCGTTGTTAATTCTTAGGACGCCTGAAGTAAACTGTGTTGTTCATGTAATATCATTGTTATCCCAATGAAGCCACGTCGGATCTACCGGCAAAAGTCGCTAGTGGCAAACTGATGCAAGCTTACACCAGTTGATGGAAGAAAGGTTTTCTGCCAACAGACGGGAATTTTATTCCAAACTGACTCGCAACTCCATAAATGATGACTGGGATGACGTCGTTGCACTAAATAACAACCTCTAAGATTCAATTATGTTTTTTTTTCGAAGAAATGGAAAATAACCAGTCGCGTCAGAGGGCGTTGCCTTTAGACCTCAGCTTCAACAATTTTAGCAATTAGAGAAAAAGCAAGATTTTGAACTTGAAATCACAAACCTCATTCTTACACACTGACGTTTATTATGGCAGAAGTCAACCATTCCTTCAAAATCATTTTTTCTGTAATTTTGAACAGCCGATTCTTCATGTTCTGGCGTTCTTGGGCGGGTTGAATAAAATGCTTGCCTTTTAAATTCTGGGGTAATATTTCTAATGAAAAATAGTTCAGTTCCATCTACTGAGAGCGTTGCCATTCTAAAACCTATTGATGGTCTTATGTAGGGCACTGGGAATATGTGGGCCGCGTCATTTCTTTTGAGAATAATACAGGAGTTGTATACGCCCGCTGGGATCGGTGAAGAAGCTCGATCTGGTTAAGTTTCACTGACTGCCACTCACTATATCTTTTTTAACTGGATGCAGGGCCTTTTTGCTTAGAGTTCGCCGAAACTAAGCGCTTTTTCATGTATTTCTCAGTACTTTTTTCGGATGCGTCCGATAAATTTGTGGCAAATAAGGAGCCAAAAAATGAACAAATTAACAGGTAAGTCAGACAGTGTTCGGTAATGCCGCTTCAACCTTCCCATATACTGATAATATCTTCAGGGTGTGCCTTCAGCAGCTAACACACAAGATGGCCGAATCAATCCGTGAGAGAACACAGGCCACTGATCAGTCTTGGGATGTTAATTTTACGTGACTTTTCTGTACCACAGGTATGACCATGCTTGTCCAGAGATTAGCTGAGCGAGTACGCAGGCTTCGTTGTAGTTTTAAGTACGCTGATGTACGGTACCTCAAACCTAACTAACTGGTGACACTTAGGCGAAACATCTTTCTGGGTCGATCTCCAACAGGCGAAGAAACGCGTCCAACGAGGAAGCGCTTTCTGATCCCAGAATCGAATAACAATAAAACACTGACCTCTTGCTTGTTCTTAGACCACTGAATTAGTATTGACAAACAGCACCTGACCAGAGGTCTTCACTTTGATATGATTTCAGTAAGCTTTATTTTTCCGGCCATTAAAGCACTTGGCGTCATATTCTTTGAGGTCAATGGTGTAATCAGTTCAGCCCTTCGTTTTCTGCCCAGGAGAGCTGCATGTAACCCGTAGGTTTATCTTGGACGTAATACCTATATATAACCCTTTTTATTGATTATCGCTCTGTCGTTTGGCATTTGATTACGGTACGTGTACTGTTAGGCGTGAATCGATGACCTAAACAGCAAACACAAGACAACTGGACCAAACGATTCATCAAAACACCAAGTGATCGGTCTTATTTTTCAGTTCCAAAAAACGCCAAACACCGCCAAGCCAAACAGGTGTTCTTTGAGTCCACCACACAAGCCTACAACTGATCATATGGCTATTCGAATTTGTGAAGCAATGTTTGCTACAGAGTAAAGGCCCACACATTTTTCGAATTCACCCCTTCTGGGATATCACGTTACGGCAGTTGTGTATGCCGGATAAAGACCGGGGGTAAAACTCACTTCCTTAATCATCGGGCAAGTAATATCTACGGAGACGTGGAAGTAAAATCTTTTTCCGTTAGCTAAAATGATCGAAAAATCATGTTGATTAATGAATGTTTATTCACGTACGACCCTGGAAGTCCGCAGTCGGTGTCGCTGCATATCACGCAGTGTCTTTAGGAGGTGCCTGGGAAAACCTGTCACAATTATCATCTTCCTAGAATATCTTCATGCAAAGGAAACGTCTCAACTCATTATGCTTGCCCCTAATTACAAACAGAACGTTTTTTCTGGAAAAAAAGTACCACGCATTTTTCTGCTGCTATTCTACTGCTGTTCTTTCGCTGAACACCAGCTAAACTCAATCCAAGGTTAAAAAGGAATGCAGCAAATTCATCATTGCCCTGAGTGCCATCACAATTAATTGGTTCTTCATCGTCCTCAACGTCGGTATCTAAATCATCTTTACCACTGTACTCAAACCACGACAACGATATTCGCTGTAAAGTTATACAACACAAGAGACTACATGGTGCATCCTGTGGGGCCCCGCGTTTATTTTTATCGCTCTTACTTAGTGAGCAAACACAAGTTGGATGATATAGTGAGGACAACAAGAATATTAGACAAAAGCCTACCATTTCTGTACCCTAAATAATTTTTGCTTCCTTGTTTGCTGCAAAGATGCTTTGTGATGTTCGGATGCAGTACGTCGCATAACTGTCACCTTGCAGTATGCTTTATATTTTGTGTTAGGCAGTGTTATTACAAGCATTTTTCCGATGTATGAACGACCCATGTGCGCATCGAACTGAAAATATCGTAACAAGAATAACGCTAGGTATCGCCTGGGTGACTGAAATTACTGCAAACTTTATGAGGAATCTCTAGTATCTTGTAGTGTCTCCATTTTTGAAAAAGCACCAACAAGTACGGGCTACTCCATTACAACAGCTAGTGATTCAGATACAGCCTTCAAAAATTGAAATGACCTTCAGTACAGTAATTCAGACAAGTCTCGGATTTTAACCTATAAGTGTTTACCGAGCCTACCAATAAGGGTGTGTACTGTGGTGCGCTATTTTCTACCTGTGTAACGGTGCTACTACTGGTGAGAAGGCATGCTAGTAGTACGTTCTCTCGGAAATCCGCTTTGCGTCTCTTGAAAAGTGAGATCTATTACGGAATTTGTGGCGTCGTTTTGTAGCATATGCTTGCATTTGAGCAATGTTCAATGAGTATCCAGGGAAGTTCAGAAAGATGCGTTCAAGGAGAAGATGGACATTTAGGTTTTGTAAACAAGATGCAATTGAGGGTTTTGCTTCCCTGTCCAATAGTCTGTAACTGTTCAGTTGACATTTTCTAATAAATAACTCCACAGCGAAAGCCTTCTTCCTTTCACCTGTAGGATAATGTAGAAACCTTCGGGCTTGCCATGTGAAGCATACGATGTGCAACCTCAAAATAACAAACATGGCCGGTTTGACCTTCACATCTAAAATTATAGAATGTTTGCACATCAATTGCTTCACTGAGATCCTGAGCAGTTCGAGAGATGACCGTCAAGGAACATCTGAACCTATAACGATAACGATAAACGCAATTATTTGTATATAAATTTGGTTTTGACGGGAGACTCAAATGAAACCCAGATGGACCTCTCAATTATTAAGTTTTAAAGCAAATAAATGCGCTGCGCCAGGCCGCCTAACTTTTTCAGTTGGCAAGATATGTGAGATATCGCGATGCAATGTATGGACGCAGTACACTAGTCTCAAGGTTGCTGAAAATTCTTCTTGAATTTCCCTTCTTGAAGTTCCCCAAGTAGACGTTCTCCCACAGTTTCTAATAAGCTTATGTTCTACCTGAACCCAAAATGGACAGCTTTCGACAAACACTGATTTGCATAACATTTGTTGTTGAAGAGTGTCCAGCAACCGTACGGGTGTAACGATGATACGGGAGACACGCGAGTAGTATGTGTTGTTCGTAGGATTTCGCTTTGCGTCGATTGAAAAATGGAATTCTCTTGCGAAATTCGCGGGGCCACTTTGTAACATTTGCTTTTATTTGACCGACGAATGATTGGAGGCAATGAATCTCCAGGAAGACTCGTTCGGGAGAAGATCTGTGTCCAGTTTTCGTAACTAAGATGCAGATTAGAGTTTTGCTTCCTTGTTCAATGGTCTGTAACCGGTCAGCTGGCATTTCCGAATAAATAACTCCGCAGCGAAGGCCTTCTTCCTTTCACGGGTAGTGTGCTGCATCCAAGGTCAGTGTTATGTCCTTGAATAAAGGTCCTGCTCATTATTCCCAAGTTAGAAAAGTTTCCGTGTCCATCAAACACCTGATTACGTCTGATTTCAACACAACATAAAGGTCTTATTATTTTATTACTATTTTAAGAGCAAAATCTCTCAGAATATTCCGCTTTAAGCATTATATCAGCACCGCAAAAACTATGCAGAAGTCACCTCAAACACTGAGTTTTTGAAGTTGTCCAAAGCCTGAAAAAATAAGCTGGAACCTTCAGAAACACTCCAAGTCTGTTCGAAAAATTATTCCTTCAGTGCCCCCTTGGCCTCGTTGCTCTCGCAGAACAGAACTCGAAATACAGAACCCGTTGTCTTGAATTCATTCTAACCCGAACAACAGGATAAAATCGGAAGTTCTCTTTTTTTGCGATTGTCGGACAATCCTATTTTCTTCGAAAGGATTTAAAATGATAAAATCTCAAAGCACACTTCCTGTCAAATCCCAACTGCAACGAAAAAATGGTTAGGAAGAAATGACTTCAGAATTAAACACGCTTTTCTTCTGTTACAAACCATGAAAAATGACGCCCGCAGAATTCCAGTGAAAACCAACTTTTTCTCTTAGTAGGACTGTTTCACAATAGTAAATCTATATGTGGAAACTAACGCAATACGCTAACAGAAATCATCCCATTCTTCTCCAGGGGAAAAGCCTAAGCACTTTACATCAAGAACTTGGATTTACATGCGACGTCTTCGATTATCAGCGAAATTCATCGGTTTATTGCGCCATATCAATACATTCTGAAACCTGCGTGTATTAATCGGGTACCTAAGTTTGTAAGGTAACAAATCAGTCAAGAAAATCGATATGTTTTCGAGGTTTCTCTTTCACCCAGCGAGAAATTTCTATCTTATTTAATGTGTTGTTCCGAATCGGAATGAAAATGTTCACACTCGAAAAACCAGCTGTCAGATGCATTTTATATCAAAAAGAAAACTGTGTCAGGCTGATGAAGCGT